GTGTACCTATTTTCCCGAAAGTTTTAAGCTCGGTTCCGTTAAATAAATCCTAGTAATTGATTCAAAGTTGGACTAAAGTACGCTGTTTCATATTGAACTGTCCGACTATACACTGCAGCATAAATGCACAGTATTCGCAAATCGGGAGCGTCTAAAAATTCAAAAGGCAACTTCACAAGTCTCTGACTGAAACCTAAAAGAGTCTATTCAAAATTTGAAGCATTCACCGCCTTTGACTATCGCGGAGATAACGACGTGAGTGTTGTAGGGGTTTAAAAAGATCAGTCTGCAAATAGAACAGAGTGTGTTTCCTTGTTTCGATTCAACAGCCGAGCGGGTTCGAGTGGACGGCCGAATGTAACACGAAATGTCCATAAAGGACAACGCTGTCAGCGCCAGAATAATTTTATTTCCGACCCTGACCAAATTAGGAAGTCGTAAGACTGGGGAAGATCTCCATTTGGCAGCACCGCGGTTATTCCATCAGAGCTGGTAATAGGACCCTTTCAAATTAAACGGACGATTCTTCTAAAATTTCTGCTCGCGGCTTTGCTGCGTGGTTTGGTCGGTCAGAGAAATTATTTTTGTCATGCGTGCCATATCAAATCAACTTTCTCAAAAGCAATAAATTAATTTTCATATCACTATTTAGAGAACTAAATAAAACTTAAAAAAAACATATTCTACATATTTTTTCGATAAAACGTAGTGGTATGTCGTAAGTCCTATCTCTATTAACCTACCAAATTTCATCAAATTAGTTTGCGAGTAGAAGTTTAGGCGTGAAAACGTAACTAATAGACAAAGTTACTTAGCATTAGTTTAGTTAGATATACGAGTTACCTACATATTGCTAGCTACAAACGTGTGTTTCAACAGCGAACTGAGTGCAACTGTAAAGCGTACATCGGTAACACAATTAAAAACTTTAAATGGCCGCATGGCAGAACACAATTACAAAAAGCTTCCACCTGACTGCATTCCCATTCAACTTTGTTTCTGTCTCCGTCTGACGAATGAAGAGTGAGGACGATAGGGTGTGCATTGATTCAACACAGGACAGTCCGGTGTTGAGGTTCTGTCGCTATGGTGACAATGCAATCGTCACGTATGAACACTTCCCGCTTCCTGCTCGAATTGAATGCTGATAGCGCGCCACTGACGACGCCATGTTGAATGTAAAACTTTTTCAAAAACACATGTTTGAGTTTTTCTTCAAAAGGCCATAGGACTGTTTGTTAGGGACGCTTTTATTTACAAAACAAATTTTAAAGCAGCCTTTGTACTTTATTGCGCACAGCATTTAATATGTCCAAAATTTCGCGAGTTTCAATGAGCTAATTCAGGTGAATGTTTAATTAATTGAGTCAACTGTGGAATATGTAATGAGAGCATAAAATAAACAATCGTAGTGGTTAATATATTTTGAGTTAATGAAGTATCTATAATTGCATGCATATTTTGAGCTAAAGGGCACTTTCCAATTGGGTTTTCAAATTTCGTTTTGCGTTAAAATATTTCAATTTAAAATACAGTCGCACACGAGTGGCTAGCATTACAAAGGGTCGATATTTACCATAAAAAGGGTAAGTTCACTATCACTTAATTCTGTAGCCGACAGTCTACTACATACATACGCACGTCACGCAAGCGTATATTAATATTCATAGGCATGAGTCACACGATTGTTTGGCTCCCGATATAAACAAGGCAGAAATGAGAATAAAAATACATTTCCAAATTGAGGACGACATGTCTGAATAAGTACCTACTCAGTATCGTATGATAGATTACATGGGAGATTAGGATGTGTCCACTCAGAAATAAAGGGATATCAACATGTTTCGGATCGAAACGGCATCAGCTTAGGACACTAATAATAGAGCAATGAATGTGAAAATAAATCCATACAAAGGCTAGGTTTTGCCACATTTTCGTCTTAATGTTTTTGTATTTTGACCAAATTCCATGCAGACGAAGCTGCGAGAAAAAGCTAGTACCTATCTCTACATACAGGAAAGAGTAGTATCTCTACATATAGGAGAGATCTCTCCACATTAAAAGGGTATGTAAACCAGTCGACTGTACCTAAAAGATAAAGTTATGAATGGCAAAACGACATTCTTTTGTCCGATACGGATAATGAGGTCAGTGTTCAGACTTTAGGACACACAATACTTTGTAATGAATCATATAGTACTCCTATATGAATGAATATAACAATTGAATACGAGTACTTATTATGCAGGTGGATTGATGATGTCTTATCAAACGCAAAACGTTTACAGTACCTATTTAAGGGATATTTTAAATAAAATAAAAATAGGGAGAAGTTTTCCTATCGCATATGTAAATCACCAGCATGTTTCTGGCAATTACGGGTAAACGCGAAATGTCAAGGGAAAAGAAGGTCACTGCTAACCAGTTTCTTGATAAGTTATCGTCGAAAACACCATAGTATTTTAAAAGAATCCAACTTTTTTGGTAAACTTTTGAACATAGTATACTCGCTGTGCTTTTAATGAATACGTACGTAGTGCTTCTGGAAAAATACATGTCCATCAAAGTGCAGAATTCTAAAAATCACTTGTCAAATCAATTCACGAAAAATCTTCATTTACGTGCCGTAGTACGGTTAGGAAACCCTACTACATCACTTAAATGTGTGGATAATAATAAGAACAGTACTGAGTACAAGTACTCGTACTATCCATTGAGTACAACGAGCCAACTGCGATCATTTCTCAAATTGACAAATCGCTTCGTGACCGTCCACCATTGTTTTTTCTTCGCCAAAGTGTTACAACACTTACGAGACACAAATAACAATATATCATTGGGAAGAGTCTGTGATTTGTATACGTCTTTTGATGTTTATGATCGGTCACATGTGAGAGGCAGGACATGTTGTTTTGATATAAAGGTTGTAAAACATATTTATTATAAAGAGAGCTTTTGGGTTATGATGACTATTTCAACGAAACTTTCTACTAATTAATTAAACAATTTTTTTTCAAGTCCTTACAAGTTTTATAGCTTCACACCTTTAAAGTGTTAATAAAATTGTAAAAACAACAATAAGCATGCCAGTAGTATCACGTGTACTTGACAAGAAGATATTTACATTAACCTTGAAGGAACCATCGTCAAGTATCTTATTACGTAACTCCAAACAGGTTGTGTCCGTAGGAAACCGATTTTGCGGTGACCCTACAGTAGACGCACGCGCAGCCGTCAGGGCTGTGACGAACCGGAAAAGCCGGCGTTTGTAATGCGGACGACACAGCCGCGTGTAAAGCCGTGCGCGGGAGTGCGAGGATATTGTAAAGATCACAGCACACCAGGCTATCCATTTTTGTTGCAAATTCGCTTCTACTCGTATTACAATTGCATTAGACTCGAGAGTGTTTATACCTTGATGTGCCAATGTCTAATACAACATCTACTTTGCAACTTTTGCATTTGCTGGCTGTGCAAAAATACAATGCCAGCCGTCCTTAATTGTATGGTTATAGGCTGATATACGGAGAAAATTATACTGAAATAATTATGAGTTAAGCTTATTTCGCTGTGTACGAGTAAACTAGACTGTAACGCTAGAATTAGTAGTGTTTTGAATTTTTACAGGACAATATAAAAACAGGCATAAGTTTAATTTTATCGATGTGACTCAATATATTTCGACCAACTCCTAAATCCCAAATACCAAAGTCGAGTACGAAATAGTCGTAGAGCTTTTAACATATTTGGCGATGTTTTTTTTCCATCTTAAGTACTGGTAGTATGTACGGACCCTTATAAAGGCACGACACTCGAATATCATGGNAAATCTACTTTCGTAAGATTATTTGGTTGGCATCAGATACGGTTAATATAAATAAAAAATGTATCGAAATGAACGAAAATAAGTTTACAGAGCGCAGCTAGCACCCGCGCCGCCCGTCCGTCGTTGCCCAACGAGCGGTGTGACGTCACCGCCCGTATTCCAGGGGTGCTATCAGTCTTCGCGCGTTCCCATATTGATTTGCTTATAAAATATTCAATTTTCGTGATATCAACAAAAATTTTTCACAGTTAGTCTTATTTTAGCTTAAAGTTTTTGTTAGGGCTGAAAAAGGGGAATAAATTTTGATTTACATCTTCCTCATTCGGCGACTCTACCGCCGAGTATTGTGCAAGAAGACGTGCGCAAGCGGCGCAAGCTATTACCCGAACGAATACGTACTTTAATTGTACGAATTAAAGTTCATTTTGGAATGAAATTAATGTAATAAAATGTTACGTAATTTAACAATGCCACGCGTGTTTTTAACCGACTTCAAAAAAGGAGGAGGTTATATGTTCGACTGTATGTATTTTTTTTTCTATGTATNTTAGTTAATTCAATATAAGAAAGCAAACTTTTTGCGGGACAAATCTCTGGTCGTTCATTAAAAAATGGTAAGACCAGTAACGGTTGAGCTGATCCAGGCTTGGATGTCTTTATCAAATCTGGGATTTTGATTTTGATTTCCTGTTCATTTACATGTATGTTACTAATTTTAATTTTAGAAAATGTTTGCACTCTATGTGCAGTGACAAGGGCTAAAAGAGTAATAAGCTTTTTTGAAATTTGTGAATTATTCAGTCCTTCGTTAGGGTACCATTTACCAAGATAATTTAATACCAGAGATGTATCCCAAGTTTCGTTATATTTAGGTTTTGATGGCCTAGAGCGGAAAACCCCTTTGAAAAATCTTTTAATGCATTGATTATCAGAAATGTTATTTTGCATTATTAATGCCAAAGCTGACCTATATGAATTTAATGTACCGTATTGAGCTCCCTCATTGTACACGACAGTGAAAAATTTAATTATATCCGGAATCGATACTTCATAAATGTTCAACTTATTCTCATTACAATAAGTGAACCACTTTTTATAGCACCCTTCGTATTGTTTATACGAGTTTTCTGACAGAGAATTTAATATAATGTCCAATGATTCAAGTGGGATTCCTCTTCTTATCATCGCCTCCCGGACAAGACTCCTGCCACCAGGGTAATCGTTGTGTGCATGGGGCGGCGGCGACTGCAATCATTTGATATAATTAAATTCTCTGCCGCTTTGAATACTATAAGTTCTGACACTAAAAGTTGTTTAAAAAGTGGATACCACGGTTGCGCAGGCCATTGCGGTACAACCATTATACCCCTGGCTTTGTCAGAAATGATCTTTCTTAAGGATTTTAAGATCATTGTAAAGGGAGGAAACGCATAAAAATAATAACTTGACCACGAAATTGTAAACGCATTTATGGCGTACGCATCCGGGTCTCTATGCCAAGAGGCATAGATGGCACATTTTTTGTTAGCTCGACTTGCAAATAAATCTATATTTGGGGTGCCTAATTTATGAACTATTTCATTATATGCATAGTCTGCAAGTTGCCACTCAATGTCGGGATGGATTCGCCTTGACTCTGCATCGGCGATTACATTTTCCGATGAGCGAATGTATGAAGCAAACACAAACAAACCATGGGACTCGCACCACTGCCAGAGTTGTTTTGTAACTTCTGTCAAGTGTGGAAACTGGATACCTCCCATACGGTTAATGTAGGAAATAGCAGTGGTATTATCAATGCGAAGGAGGATTTGACAGTTGGAAAGATGTTTGGCAAATATTTTTAGGCCAATAAAAGCGGCCATGATTTCTAAGAAATTTATGTGCTGCCTGCTTTCTTCTAAACTCCAAAGACCACTAGCTCTCTGATTACCACATGCTATACCCCACCCCGTTGTTGAGGCATCCGAAAAAATTTCCAGGTCATACTTGTCAACCTTAATTTTGCAACTCGCATGGTGGATAGAACATTTCCACCAGTCAATATCCGAATCTAATGTCCTTGGTATGGACATAATTTTATCATAATTAAGTGTATTTTTTAGATTAAGATATTTACATCTTTCAAAAAGTTTCGTATAAAGCCACCCATATTCTACAGCTGGGCAAGCTGATGTCAATAGTCCTACAAAACTGGCAAAGGTTCTAATTTTACAGCATTTAATCTTTGAAAATTTTGTTAATTCCGATTCAATTTTTAAAACTTTTTCTTTTGGCAAGGTGACCTGGAATTTTTTTGTATCTATAACATATCCTAAAAATGTGCAAGTTTGTGATGGTTCTTGGCTACTTTTTTCATCATTGATGATAAAGCCCAAAGCTGTGAGCAGACTTTTAGTTTCTTGCAAATTTTCAAGACATGTCCAAAAGTCATGTCCTATTAAACACAAATCGTCTAAGTAAATGGTTGACATATGTCCAGCGGTTCTCAACAATTTTACAACCGGTTTCATGACCTTCGTAAATACATATGGAGCGGTGTTCAATCCGAATGGAAGAACATTAAATTCAAATAAAGAATCTTCAAATTGGAACCTGAGGTACTTGCGATAATCCTCATGTATTTTGATTAAAAAGTACGCGTCCTTTATGTCGATTTTACATAAATAACTATCTATTGACACAAGTTTTAAAACAGTCCTCAAGTCCTCCAATTTGAAATGATTCGTATCAATAAATTTATTTAAAGACTTCAGATTCAAAATAAATCGCATTGTGCCATTTGGCTTGGGTATTAAAAAAATATTTGATAAATACTGGTCCTGATGGGCACAGCACTTCGATATTGCTCCTGTTATTAATAACTTATCAATGGCCTCAATAAAAAGAATTCTTTCCGACTCGGAATATTTCCTATTAATAGGTTGGAAAGATTGAACTGGAGGCCTCGAAAAAGGGATTTCGTAGCCATTAATATATGAAAGAACGACTGGATCTTTTGTAACCATTTGCCACTGATCGTAAAATGCGCTTAGTCTACCTGCGGTTTTTACCGAGTCTAGCGACGATTGTAGCCCGGTCGCTGCTGATGATGCTGCGACGGCTTTGATGAGCTGTTGGGCCGACTGTGTGTCGAGGTCGATGCAGGCTGCCTCATCCTTGGTGGACCCGTTGGCCTGCGGCTCGGACCCGGATTCTGCCAGTTTAAATTCCTAGTGGAATTAGAGGTCGTTGGTTTCTTAATAGGGTTCTTAGGTGCAGGTGGTTTTAAATCTGTACCAGTTTTGCAAATTGTTTTTGCTGACTTCAAAGTTTCGGCTAAATTTTCGCCAAAAAGAAACTTGTCTATATTGGTGTTTTGCAGCTGCTCTTTGATTTCTTTTTTAAGACCACCCATAACAAAATTTCTTCGCGTGGCACTGTCACTATGTTGGCATTCACAAATTATTCGAATTGCGTCCATCAGCAACTTTATAAGATTGGTATCCTTGTCTTTAGATGGTAAAAGAAGCGTAATAGCTTCTCCTAGACAGACTATAGCAGAGGTAAGTACCTTCTGTTTAGCTTCAATAGCCTTATCACGTTTAACATTGATGTCAGAAATAGCAGCTTTCATTTCTGCATTCAAAATTGGTGGATCAATCAATTTGCAATTTCCGGGCGTTAAATATCTATCTTTTAACTCCTTTTTAAGGTCCTTGTCAAGACCAACAGTGGTCCAATGTTGTAATCTAACGGAAAGATCTTTGTGTAAATCTTTACCGTATTTCTTATCAGTGGTGGGATCAATCCCCAGTATGTCCAATAGATCGTTGTCTAAGTTGGAGGAGTCTTCGACTGCAACTGCCACTGGTTCGGCTGACGTGGAAGGTTCCGTAGTCGTCGAAGTCGATGGAACGACATTATTCGATGGAACTGTTACGGCAGAGGGTATTGACGAAGTCATTTCAGTTTTGTTCTCATCACCAGATTCTGGTGGCCTTCCATCGGTTTCCGACTGTGGCGCGGGTAGATCTACATACGCATCCTCATCATCAGTCAACCCGATGTAGTCGTAGTCTGAAAAGACATACCACTTCTAAGCCACTGTGCTGAGAGACAGTCCCCAGTTAAAGTAACACGTACTGTCCGCAGAGCACGTAAAGCTAAGTAGGTAGAATTCACGGCAAGAGACAGTCCCTAGTTATTTATAACATGTACTGTCCGCAAACCACAATTAATATATTTAACAATTACTATTTCGCAGTAAGAGACAGTCCCAGGGCATAGCAAGTACTGTCCGCAAACTGATATTTCATAATATTATGTACTTGTAAGAAAATAACCTGTTAAAAGTAAAGAGACAGTCCCACTGTACTGCCCGCAGTACTAATATTTCAGGCATTTAATGTAAATGTACATTAATAATAAATTATTTTTATATGTAGGTAAATTGGGTAAGTCAAAATATAAAATATCATAATATTGTATTACGATAATAATTATAAGAACTACGTATATTACTGCATAATTCAAAGGTCTATCATACTTGTTTCGACGTGAATAATAGTAGTGTAAGTACCTTGTTTATTTAACGACGATCGACGTGATGAAGAAGATGACGATAACTCCTCATCGGAACGGCTATGACGTCGACGGCGCCTTTTGCGCGCTAATTTTTTCTCCAACTTCCTAATTTTCCGTTGTATGCGATCACAATCGTTATTACTTTTACGTTTCGGCATATTTTTCCGTAATAAACAAATGAACTAATACTAGTGGTGACGTGTATAACTTTCACTTTTAACTTTCACTTTTTATTACGACGAGCGCGTGTGGAACGGCAAAGCACTGGAACACGAATGATGAAAATGGCGGAATGAAGTTATTGGGAAGGGAAAAATCGAGTTACCCGACAAAAAAAAAAAAAAAGTGTGAAATAAAAATTCTCAAATAGTGTTGTGGAATGGTGAGTGCTACACGTTACTACAAGTGTTTAATATGCTAATCTCGAGAACGAAGCATGAAGTATAATATCTTCTGATAGGTACTGCATTTTCATGTATAAGATGAATTTATTAAGATTTGCATATTACTTAAGATTTTAAGCATACCTTCCTTCATACAATAGAAGCATCACGTTTCTTTTTGACAATTTCTAATTTTCTAGCAATATTCGTATTTTTGGGATCTCAAAAAACGCCTACGTCTCAAAACACAGTTCTTCACCCCACAAAAAATGTGTTGTACTAGCATTTTTCGTCTACCTTCGTGGGTGTTTTGTTTACTTATGAACCCTTTGAGGCCCATACCTGATTGCGAAAGGAATTAGGGACTCCTAGGGGAAATAAATGCTCCTACGCGACGAGCATTCAGGGTTGGGGGTCCATAATGTAATAATAAAGTGGACAGTGAGCTCGATTTCGTGATAAGTCAGGGTCAGACATGAATGGTATTTTGATTGACAAATAAAGATAAACCGGAATATCGAAGATGAAGGAGGGATTTTGTTTATTACAGCTTTGCCTTTGGTGTTCAGGGTTCAGAGTAGGTACAACTCAAGTCATGAAAAATGTTAAGTAGTTACCTACTTATTCTAACCGCAATTTTAACGCAGCGTTTCGAATTAGATAGAGCTTGGCTAGGAATGGATTAAGCTACAAATTCATCGTGAAAAAAGCTACATTATCCATTACCATCTATGTATAGGTAGCGTTATTTTATTCTTCATCCTCGTTTCCTCTTTTCAATGAGGATTGTGCTATTTGATTACGTGCTTCAATCTAGGTATTTTCGCCATAATACTAGAGTTACTTTGTACGCCAATATAAGGTGTACTCTCTACTACACAATTCAAATGTTACCTGTATAAAAGCTAGTCGCAAAGACTATATAATATTCCGCAGAACTAAGGTCAGCAATGTAATATGAGCCCCAAATTAACCACGTCCGAAAGCCCTAGAAATCCAGGAAAATGAGCAAGCTCCCTCGGGACACCGTGTCATTGATACGATTCCCGCAATTAAGGGTGGTGATTACACCCGTCCTCATTATTTTTGCTTATCTCCTGTGTTTACAGCGGAGTAAACAAGCCTTTAATGTGGGAAATAATTGGCTTAATCAAATTATGAGTAAAATAACGCCATAAATTCAGGTTTAATGCCCGTTTCATCTTTGGGAGCAGTAATTTGAGTTAAGACGTTCGTTATTGCTAGGTTTTTGCTTTGTATACGTCGAGATTTTCTGAATAAAAAGGTGATATCGAAACAATATCCGAGACATTTGCCATTGTGTAAAAACACACCCACGTATGTAGACTTGTAGAGCCCCAAAGAAAAATTAAAACAAGATAAAACATCCGAGTTTTACATAACAATTTAATGAACTCCGTACAACGCTTATGAATCCCGCTTTTAACATACATAATACAGATTTGCATTACTGCAGCGCGGCTCATAACATTTTCAGAGTTATTCCCGCACTGTGTTAGGATGCCCGACTCAAAGCCATCGCCGGCATTCCGAGCATCACTTTAGAGGCAAACATAGCACTTTTATAAAGGCTGAAACAAAGAGCGCATTAGAGCCAAAGCACACGATGCGTTGCGGCGCCGCGCCGCAAAGATTTCGTCGTATCGCGCTAAGCGGCGCCGCACAACTCGTGTGCCCTCCACAGATACATTATTTCTATGGACGACGACGCAGCGACACCGCTCCGGCCTCGCAACGCTGCTGCAACGCATCGTGTGCTTGCTCTTACCCGGCGCTTTGTGGAACTCTCCGATTAAACATTAACACGAAATAAAGCGAAAAATATGCCGCTCCTAAGAGCGAGAAAATGTCCAAGGAACAAATGGAACCAATCCATCCGCCGGAGATTAAAAACGAAATTATTTCGCTTGCTCTTCGTAAGGTTTTTATTTTTCAGCTTAAATCAAAGCTAGATCATCCCAATCGCATTATAATTTTCATTCGACCAAATCATTATGTCGCAATATGCAGTCAAAATAATCAGATTTTCTTAGTTTCAAAATAATTCAAATGAAACTATATTGAAATTTCAGCTGAAAGTTGACTTTAGCCAGTAAATCGGCTTTACTTTCTGCCAAAAGTCTTTTTTTTTTCTAAAAATCAAAATTGTTATAATCTCAACGCTTCAGGCGTTTTGTTAATAAATATTGCGCATGAATAAGGCTAGCTAATGGAAAATTAAAATTTTCCTTCTATCAAAAATTTTAATATGAATTCGCTAGAAAGTGTTTAACAAGCTTCAAGTTCCTGAATTGTGAATTGATTTTCGCATAATTTTAATATTAAAATGTTTTGTTAGACAAGAGTAAGATTACGATAGGTACTTAAAATTTCGGTTTAAGAATAGTGATAGAAAAGCTGGCTCATTTTCTATTATTCGCAAGCGTTTTTGAATTAAACAAGGTCCCTAATTTAGTGACAATTACTTATCTGTTGAACGATACTAAGTCATAATGATACGCTCGTACTATAAGGTAGACTATAAATAGTAAGAGTATGAAATGTCCACATAATGTTTCTGTACAGGCAGTTCTTATAACTTGATTAAATGGAGCAACATATTATCAGCCAATTTCGCTGAAACTAGGCATATTGTGTTACTGAAATCTTTTATGTATTGACCTTAATGACTATCCCAGCCTTTTATCTCCATAACATGTTCGTTTATCGAAGTTGTGTGTTATTGAGACGCAAATCGGCTCAAGCCATGTCGTGATTGTGGAACAATAGATGACCTTAATTCGAAGCATAAATTGCTTGCCTTTCCCTGCGACTTGCGCCGTAAAAATCTTTAGAATATTAAGCAAGGATTAGCAAGAGATTGGATAACAAATTGACTATGAAAAGATTACGGTTCTGTAGGTACTACACGTTTAATATTTTTTAGACATTCTTAATCTGTTTAAAATTTAATTAAATTAGGATACCTATAATCTCTAACTTTACCTTTTTCGTAATTGAATTTCTTTTGTTTTACAGAACCGTCTATTTTACCTAGTTATTTAAAAAGCGCTTTTTAAGTGCCTACTTGCGAAAAATAAACGAGTTCTATTTTTTTTATTCGTGTTAACTATCTGCACAGTGGCGGATTTACTAGCAGGCTGAGTAGGCTAAAGCCTACGGCGACTTTTAAGGGGCGGCAGATTTAATTCATTATTTTTTTATTTCGACTTCCAATTTTAAATCCGCCACTGTATCTGCTGCTGTCTTTCCTGAACACTATAATCCGGGCCTTTTCAAAACGAGAGTGAATAGTCACTTACAGGGCAGATATGTACCATCCTAGACTGCATCTCACTTAACATCAGGTGCGATTGCGGTCAAATACCTGCCTTGTCTTGCATAAAAAAAATCTCCTATACAATGTTATCTTGTAAATGGATATTCTTAAAACAACAATATTGGTTTTGTTTTAGTTTTACTTAGATAGGTATTTGTAAGTATGTGTTGCAGCGGAAAGACATGGCGCATGACCTATGACCTTTGCCCTTCTGCGATTCGGCAGATGGAAGCCCGCGTTGTAAGGCTTTTGATTACAAATATACATTTCTAAGCATTTAAAGGTTATATTTCTGGTTATTTTACTCGTAGGCTACGATGACAATATAAAAGGTGTTAACATTTCATATCGAAATATCTACGTTATCCACGTATTATCATAATTTAGACAAAAATCTATGATTCGCACCCTTGGATCGTATATACATACATACTTATCACCGATGGTGTACAATACAGTCGAACATAAAACCTCCTTCTTTTCTGAAGTTGGTTAAAAAGTTCACATCTAGAACCTCTTCCATTTTTTACAGTCGGTTACCTAATTACCAAGGCTGGGTTGCACCATCTTATTTTAACTTTAACAAACGTTAAAAAACTGTCAAACTCCATACAAAAAGCACTGGTTATCTTTATTATTACGGTTAAAGTTAGGTGGTGCCGTACTCATTAAAAAGTTGTCATTTCAAACGCAATCTACGAAAATTATGAAAGTGCTAATCGGTTGTTAGCATTCTGTCAACATTATCTACAATCCGATTGAGTCAAGAACAGGTTTGGATATGGCCCAACAAGTGAATGTTAAGGCAGTTCTCGGAAGTCTGGGACCGCCTGACCTGGTATACTATGTTATGTTATAATCATACTCATCTTCATAAGTAGAGGCAGACGTTTTTAACACTAGAAGTGCCGAAGATTACGACCCCCCTAAAAGCGCCGCTGGGTCAATTTTGTCCCAGCATATATTTTGTAACATTTTTTAGTATCAGGCATGAACATTATGGTTAAAACTATTTGTAGTATCCTTAAAAAATAGTTTATCTATACAGTTAAATCAATATGTACTTATTTCTTTAAAAATATAAATGCATTCAATTTTAATTTTGAATTATTAAAAGTCAGATATTTTTGGTTTCATATAAAAATAGTCACATATTACATGGTGTTATACTGTATTAAAATTATGAAATTACTAATTTAACTATTCATTATTCTTTTTGAATATATAATAAATATCTTACAAATAATAGTGCACATTTTGCACAAAGTTTTTTTGTATGGTTTTTTTGTCTCTCTGGTCTACTATGTGTTTAGGAACTTCTATAGGTATGGTTATTTTTCTGTTATCCGTACACACACAGTGAAGTTTTTTACCAGTTACAATGAAAAGTATGTACATTTAATTAAAAAAAAATTAAAAGTCACACATTTTAAAAATGTATCAAATCATACAATGTATGAACTGGCCCATGTCTTGAAGTCACCTTCCTACTAATATTATAAATGTAAAAGTAAATAAAGATTGATGAATTGATGGATGGATGAACCGATGAACGGATAGGAAGGATGAATGGGTGGATTTAAGCCTTGA